CGGGCTATGCTTTAGCACGTAGCGATAGTTCTTCTGTTCTCTAACCTCCATATGCTCGCACGTAACTTGACGACTTCCAGCCTCCCAACAATACAGTTTCGGAAATGGCTTCAATACCATAGACTACATACATACCCTCCCGCAAATTGTACAGAAAACCGAAGAGTGCATTCTGCCACTGCCTTGCGTATTTGGGCTATGTGTATCGAAATTTGGGCGGAGCGGTGTTTGTACAGTAGGGACACGATGGCTATCCGAGTACAGAATCAGAGTACGAAACCTATCATTTGCAGAAGTGACGTTATATCCCCGAAACTATTCACCGCCGCATTGCGGTTGGGAGACGATTTGGCGGTGAAAGAAAAAGGGGAGGATCTCCAGCTGAGCAGTGTTTATTTCGGAATACTTCAATATATAGCGCGGTAGCTTCTGAACTTTGATAGCGTGATTCAAGCTTCGGTCAGTTTCGCTTCTGGTACGTCGACAGCGGCGCCACATCACTCCCCTGCTCAGACCGAAGTTCGATGGTGCAGTCTTAGTTGTCGACGAACGTGCAAGTGCCACGGATTGCCTTGTAGTCTGCGGTGAGTCGAAAAGAAGGCAAGTAATCTGCGAGAGTGCCGTGAAGCTACTCAAAGGATCTGCTCAGGAGCGAATGGATGGGATATTTAAGGACGATGACGAAAGCTTTAGGTTGAAGTTTCCGAAGGTTGTTGGTTCCGATTGCGTGTTCACATTACGTCGGGGTCACCGCTATACACAACGCGTAACATAATTAACGCACTTTGAGAAAGTAGTTTGTTCAGAATCGTTAACTGAATCGTTTCCTATCATTTTTAATATAGGTATTTTTTTATCCCAAAAATAAAACTACGTAAATTCATCACACTAAATCTGTACAGTCAAAACAAACTGAAATGGACCGTAACTTAAGGCAATAAGACTTTTAAGAGTGCAGTTTCATTTGTATTATTACTAATTCTGTCATTCAATAAAAATAAAGAAAAATGAACTTTATTTCAAGCAAGTTAAAGTCTTTGCGTTCGTGGATTTGTACTGTGACCACAACATTCTTCCGGAATTAGTATAATTTGATAAATAATCAGTGCATAAAAATGTTTAACTAAAAATTCAGTGTAAGTATTATGATTATAACATAATATACTAATTGGGGTGTCTGAGGGTGTGCGTTAATTACGTTACATATTGTAGTTGTGGGTTGCTTTCCAATAAAATATAAAAATACACAACACACAACTATATAATAATTTATTTGACACGTTTTACAATAACGAATTAGGATTTAATGTTGAAAGAATTAAACGTGCGTTCCAGCTGCAGTCGCTTTGCTCAATGGGCGGAGCGCTTGCGTCTGCTTCAGCTCGCGAACGGGAACTGGTCGGGGCGCGGGGTGATCACACCGATATTGAGGTGCAAGTCACCACGTTTTCAAGCTACTGAACTGGAAACTGGAAAGGATATGGTATTAACATCAATAGCGTGGACACTACCCACCTTTGATTTGCTGATGATAGTCGATAGTCCTTATGACGCTGGAGGATCTAAGCACTATGCTCAATGGTTTCAATAGTGTCTCCCAACGGATGGGTCTTAAGATAATCATGCACAAATTAAGAACATGTTACCTATTTCGTTACTTGTTGGGACCTAAGGCAAAAAGTTCGACTAGATAAGTCGAACTTCAACCGAGAAGTAAATCGACGGATTCAACTCGACTGGGCAGCGTTTGGTGGATTACGGCACACCTTCTGGTTAAGGTACCTCAAAAAACTAGGCTAAGGCTATGCTCGGGGTTTCCGTGGGTGATAAACTTAGAAATGAAGATATCCGAAGTAAAACCATAGTGACTGACATAGCCCAACGGATTAGTAAGCTGAAGTGGCAATGGGCCGGCATTATGACTCGAAGCACCGACAGCCGACGGGGAAGAAAGGTCTAGTGTCAGCCTCGTACCGTCGTACCGGTAGGCGAAGTGTGGGGCGGTCTCCCCCCTAGATGGAGTGATGACCTGTTAGACATGCGGGAATTCGATGGATGCAGTTGGTTCAGGACCGTGCTTTGTGGCATTCCTTGGGGGGTAGCCTTTGTTCATCGGTTATAAGTTCCCAACGTGCAATTGCCAAGCGATAGATCCAACGGGAACAATCAAATATTTAGGAGTGGTGGTTGACTATAACCTAACATTTAAGTCCACATATCACCAACTCGGCTACTCGAGTTCGAAACTAACCTATGTATTCAAACTGATACATGCTTGCATATTCATAAAAAAATTATGCTATGAAATAGCCAGTCCATTTTGCAATACCGTATTACGGTATGAGGGGTAATGTAAAAACTCGGGATAAGAATAGAGATCTCAAAGAGCTCTGCTTATGATGATCCAAGTGAACTGAGCATGTCGCATGTCGAGTGTCGTGAGTCGAATTCATGAGTTGATTAAAAGTGCACGTCTGTTTTTACATTACTGACTTAATTCTATTGTTCTTTTAGTTCATTGTATTAAGTCTGTCTTTTTGTAGTTTTGAAAACTACGTAGTTAAAAATGCACGTTAGCTTCTACATCTCACTTTATGAAGAGTGCTACTACAACAATCGCACACTCTAAGTGGTAGAGCCATGCTGCAGTTATATTAGTAGTATAGTTGTAGCACAATTGGGTCGGCTCGACCGGGGAACGACCACGCTCTCACAGAATACCAGCGTAAAATAGTAGCTTAATGCAGCTGTGTTTCGTATGGTGAGTGTAGAGAACCGGAGACCCTTTTTACTGAAAACGAGGCATTCCATCTTAGTCCTCACGGGTGACAACGCATCTGCATTTTGATTCATAATAGAGGATAGATGTAGATGTCTATGAGCCGCAGCAATCACTTACCATCAGGTGGACTGTGTGCTCGTTTGTCATCCTATACTATAAAATAAAATACTCGCACAATAGTATGTTGCTTAATTCACTTGCCTCACATAGGGTTTTTTGACTAATATACAATAAATAAAACACACTATATACAAATAATAATCTTTAATTAAGAAAAGCAAAAGAAATTAAAACAATAATAACTTTTTTGTCTTAAAAATGTTTAGCCGCCTACAGGCTATTCCCACATAAAATAAAAACAAAAGTATAATTTATTCCATTCGCATTTCCGCTTTATGTATCATGATAACCTAAATTAAACTTCAAATATTTTAATAGACGTCAAACTATGGCTCAGGAATTAATTCATTTAAACTTAGCGAATAAAACAATGCAAATAATAGAGGGTAGAGATGGTGGTGTAGTACTTAATACATTTGAAAGGAGCAATTTCTAGAATAATTTTTGATAATAAATATATTAAATAGTTTTATTTAGTTGTTTAATTATTAATAAACCTTTAATATTTTCAAAATTACTACAATAGGATCTGATCATGTATTAAAAACAAATGAATATACGTCCTTCGCCATTACCCATTCATAACAGCAATCTTACCCGGAATTTGTCAATGTATCTCTAGACAATCCCCCGAGTTTGTACTTTTTTCGACATCCGAGATTTTAGATTCCAATTAAAATGATGGTGTCTCCATTAAAAGGCACTTTGAATGTTAATTGTACCAACTATGGTATTCTAATACGTCGCCAGTCATGTCAAACATTAGCTGATAGCCGCTCGTTTTCGCACGATATTATCGTGCGCCGTGCGTAATTTTATTGCGGAACCTAGATGTTAAATATCAACATTTTTTTTTGATGGGATTATTTATTGGGCGTCTACATTGCGAAATTAGTAACTGTACTAAATTTCAAGTTAATCGAAAACTCGTGATGAATCAGTCAGTCAGTGATATTTCGCTTGTATATATAAGCTAAAACACTTATATCTGTAATATAATAAATAATTTATTTATTTATTATATTACAGATATGTGTTTTAGTTTTTAATGTTGGGCTTACGTAGAGTTAAATTTGTTTATAGTTGAGGTTGAGAATAGGTATTTTAGAACATTTAGGAACATTTAGGGCTTGATGACTGAATGTTGAGTTACAAAACACGGATTGTATATAATATTGATGGTTACATACATTCTGTGTTTGGGATAAACAAGGTCTGGATAGTTTTACCGAAGGTTATAATAGTTGAGAAACAAACTTTAACACTTAAACTGTCGTCGGTCACGTTTTAAATGCAATACATCCGATAAAGTGACTGAGTGCTCATGGATGAAGAAGGTTTGAAAATCAAATGTGGAGTTGAATGTTAAGGATGGAATATTTTTTGTCTATAAGAATATTAGTAACGTTATTTACCTTATTTATACTCCATTAATCATTTTAAGTAAGGTCTATATGCTTGTGTCAAAAGTCGCGACATAAGTCGAATGCCGGATTCGAATCCACGACTCTCCAAGTTTGCGGTTCGCTCCCTACCACGAGGCTACTGTCGCCTTGAATGTTACGGTGTGTAGTATTGAAGGTTGAGCGTAAGCAGTAGTGGTATCGAGAATAATTGGAGAAGGGAGAGATTAGTACAGAGGGTGGAGAGTTATGGCAGATGATTGATAATGAGGGCTAACGAGCTTACGCGCACCAGATGTCGCTAGTTGGGACTGAGGCGAACTTATTTGTTACACAGATAGGTCTCAAAGTTGCGTTATAAATAAAAAAAAATCGGTTTGTAGTGTATGCATATATATAAAACAATGCCTCAGGACTGTATTAGTAGTTTGATTTATATAACTAATATTTCAGAAAGAAATATTAATCCCTACAATTTTCTAATAAATTAACTTCCTATGTATGAAATCTGTCAAATAGTTCACCTCATACGTAATTGGCGTTGCCTTGTTGGCAGAAAAAGACATGCTCTCATTGAAGGTCTATTGTAGACTGTTGGTCAACTGTGGTAGTGGGCGTAATCCCTTGTTGAAGATTTATTGGAGATGCCCGACGGTAGGATGGGTGTAATCCCTGAGTGGCGGCGGCGGGAAGGCCTACGCGTGGGTGGTGCTGTCCTCGACGAAGTCCCTGGCCTCGTCGCGCGAGACGCACTCGACGTGCGACACCTTGTTGCGGAACTTGACGCCGTAGAACTTGTGCGCGTGCTCCAGCAGCTCGGGCCGGAACGTGGTCGTGATGAACTGCGCCGACGACGACAGCTCGTGGATCATGTTCGCTATCGCTTTCCTGTGCTGCGCGTCCAGAGCCTGCGAGTTATACATACTCAGTTTCAATTACTAATTCCAACTTGATTTCTTATATTTACACGAACACTACACATTGACTAAAACTATTCACACGAATTTTATCGCATTTAATTTACTTATTTTTTTCATTCCCGAAGTTTCGGGCGCTTTACAGCACCCATGGTCACGGGAGGGGGGGGGGACTGAGATATTTGACGTCTCAATGTCATAGCAGTGTCACCGACATAACTGGGCTCAACGCTTAACAAAACTGCTGTCACCGCTAAGAAGACATACCAAAGCACACACAAAGGTACCATTATACCATTTTGTTAGTGAGATAAAAGATCTACATCTCGCTGACAATGAAACTATGGTCAGTTTGATGTTCAGTCACTATTTACATGCCTACTTATTGATGTTTTTTATAGTATAGGGTGACAAACGAGCACACAGTCCCCCTGATGGTAAGTGGTCGCTGCGGCCCATAGACATCTACATCTATCCTCGATTACGAATCAAATGCCTCGTTTCCCGTTAAAAATGTCTCCGGTTCTCTACACACACCATACGAAACACAGCAGCATTAAGCTACTATTTAACGCTGGTTTTGTGTGAGAGCGTGGTCCTTCCCCGCTCGAGCAGACCCATTCGTGCTACAACTATACTTCTAATATAACTGCAGCATGGCTCTAACACGTACAAATATAATGATAACTGCATCTCGATTGTAACCAGGAAACTAGAAGAAAACAACATGCCTGAAGAATATGCTATATTACTTGAACACTGCCTCACGTCTAGTTATCTTTTGTGGAAGGAGGAGTTCTACAATCAAGTAGATGGTGTGGCGGTGGACTCTCTTGTATATCCCATGATCGCCTACATATTCATGGAGGACTTTGAGAAGAAATCCCTTCTTACTGCTCCTGTAAATCCAAGATTCAACAAGTGGGTACGTAGACGACACTTTCACAATTTTAAAATCAGACAAAGTAACTGCCTTTTTAGACCACCACACCATAAACCCACAACTCCATAAACCCTAAAATACAATTGACAATGGAGTTGAAGGCAAATAATTCTTTAGCTTTCCTGGATGTTTTAGTCATCCGAAATCCTTAGAACACTATCGGTCACACTGTGTATAGGAAAAAGACATAAAAATATTTAAATGGTGAATCTCACCATCATCCTTCACAGTTAGCTACCGTGGGTAAATCTTTGTTTCAAAAAACACAATGAATCTTTGACAGAAAACACCTAGCCGCCGAACTTCAGCACGTCAAGCAAGTATTGCAAGACAACAAGCTTCGAGTCCCGCGCCTACGCCAGTGACCGAGTGAAGCCGGCCACAGTCGAGCGTGTGCCTGCTGTACTACCGTATGTCAGAGGAGTTACAGACAAGGTTGGCTACATCTTGAAGCGAGCTTCCATTAAAACACACTACAAGCCGCCGAAGAAGGTTAGTCAATTTTTACCATCCATCAAGTGTAATATTCCTCTACAAGATGCAGGAGTGTACAAGTTAGATTGTGAATGTGGTCTCTCTTACATAGGACAAACAAAAAGATCTATAGAAACCCGCGTGAAAGAACATATAGCTGATGTGAAGCACCAATGCTCCGGGAAGTCTGCAGTCTGCAAACATGTTCAAGATCGTCCCCACCAATATATCAGATTTGATAAACCATAAATCCTCGCAAAAGTATTCCTACACATACCGATTCCTGCCAAGGATGATACGCGAGGCTATTGAAATTAAAAAAACATCCAAATTTCAATAGAGAAGATGAATAGGTGCTGCCATCAGATCATCAACAAAATTAAATCAAAACCCAAGCATACCACTGCAAGACTTCAAGACACTGTAAGCTCGTTCTGTGTAGAATAGATGATAGAGAGACCAAAAATTAATATTCAAAAACTGAAGTTAGCCGGGCTAACTACGAGTATGACATTGGGACGTCAAACATCTCAGTCTCCTCCGTGACCATGCTGTAAAGCACCCGAAACGTACCCGGAATTTAAAATAAGTTAATTAAGAGCACTCTTACATTTCGGTGTTACGCAAATTTTACGCACCGTGCGGGCGGCGAACCACGCAAGGCATACTTTCTTTCATATCTATTCACTCGCTCGCCTATGACCCGCGGGTCGTAGATTTGTCACAGACCCACGCAGGCTTTTTAAATAACCCGTTAATTTTTTTTAAATAAAAGAGAGAACAAACCACAAGAAAGTGCGGTAGTTCATGATATCACCCCATTACTATCAATTTCTAGACGTCGACCCTTTAACTTTAAATGAACTTTAGCTAGTGCTAAAAAATTCAGAGCATAATCTGACCCATTTCTCAAAAAGTTTACCACGACTGTCATATATATATATATATATATATATATATATATATATATATATATATATATATATATATATATATATATATATTTCGGAGGAAGTAGTAAGTCGATTGCTGGTTTTTATTGCGTGATATCCATTTTTCTCTAAAAATAATGCTCTGTTAAATATTAATTTTATTTTATGTGATTTGTTAGATTGTGTTATTTTGTGTAGAATCTTATTTAATCTCATTAAAGTTACTGTATTGTACTTCATACATGTTACGACCAATCAGAGCAGAGGGTAAGCCTCGAGTGGGGGTCGAGGCGCCACTTTGACGGTTACCGCACGATTAGACTTTATTAGTGTTGGTGGATTCGTGGTGAAGATTCATTCCTTTTTTGGTGTTCGTACGGTGAATTCGTGAGATCGGTGTCGCGAACCTGCTGCTCGGACTTTGTTTATATTAAACGCTTTTAATTCAAAATAAGTGATTGTAAAGTAGTAATTCCTATAGTGACTTTCAAAATTGTTAAACTGTAATTAAATTGTACAAAAACAGTGAATACTTTGTTTTGTGCTCGCATTCAATCCTAATGACGCCCACTAGACCAGTGGCCACCGATGACGATATCGATGTGAATTGTGTTTCTCCGACATATATTTGAATTTGCTACTTCAGTAATGTCTTAAAACTTAGTCGATTTTAAATTGAGAATTTAATTAGATTTTTGAATATATACACAATCAAGTATCACCAAAGGGCCTTGTGATATAATTATTTTTCACAAACCTGATCGATTTCATCAAATAGGTAGAAGGGCGCCGGGTCGCACTTCTGTATGGCAAATATGAGCGCCAGAGCGACGAGGGACTTCTGACCGCCGGACAACTGGTTCATCTCGCGCATGTCACCTTCGCCTCCCGTGAACGACACTTTGATACCGACGCCCGTGAACTGGTCCGCGTTAGCCCTCTGAAACAAAGTTGAATATTATACAACTCTGTAAGATATAGAAATTATTTATTTCATTTTATCCTCCTACAGGATCATATTGGCCGAATGTATGCGCAAGCACATATGTTAGCTATTCCCTCACTCTCATAGTGCGATGCGACAGTAATTCAACACGACCGGAGAGAAGTCTGGCACAGGACCAGCGACTATGTGTTTGAAGCTGCTACTGAAATTTTGCTACTGAAAAGTTATCATCACACTCGAATTTTGTTTTGTATCGTGGAGGCAGTTTATACACATAAATTGCACATCCCGCACTTGACAAACATCGTGACCCGAAACATTTATTAGTGGGCCATACAAAAGCATGGTCGCGTAGTGACTGCTAAGCTACCCCATATCTTCCTGTCGGTGTCGCAGGCGACAGAGGGAAACAGGCAGGAGATGGGCAGCAGTCTTCGTGATAACAGCAATAGTACAATAAAAAACTACAGTTGCCAGTCCGCTCGCCAAACGTGGCAACCATAGAATACTATTAAACATACATAATAAGAACGGGGGAGTGGGCGGAGCCAGTGTAGCCACTAACATGTCACTAACACGTCAATTCACACCAATAAATGTCAACGCAATCAATCGTTTACAATTTTCATGTCAAGCGTCTCTGCATGCAAATTATTTAAAAATGGCAAATTGTGCAATAATTACGTGTCGAAAGAACAGCGGGAAATGGATTTTAAATAAAGGAGACATACCTTACAACCAGTAAGTCGAAACTATTTATATTTTGTAAATATTAGAACAAAAATAAAGAAATATTGACTTGTCAAAAACATTAATCAAAAGTCTAAAATGTGTAAATTCGCTCAGTCTGTCAATACAGTGAATCGGGTTTGTAGTAGTGATAATACGACGTAATTGCTTGTATATGTGCTCCCGGCGACACCAATCCTCATACAAAATAAGGTTGATAGCCATTCTATGGTGTATGATAGTATTCTATGGTGGCAACTATGACAAACATCCCCCCCATGATGAGAGCTACGAAGAGACGGCCCCCAGTCCGTGGCGGCCGCGCTATTCCTGGCTATGGTGGCGAACATGGTAACGGCGTGGCAGGGGGTGCTAAGAATTTCCAGTGAAGGTTCGGTTGCCACCAAAGACGGCTCGACCTGGTAATATTTAACGCACGCACTTTGAAGACTGACCAGAAAATTCTGCAGCTAGAAGAAGAGATAGGCAAGTTGCGCTGGGATATTATAGGATTGTCTAAGGTCCGAAGAGAGGGGGAGGATACGGCAACTTGTTTTATCACCGGGAGGGTGACCATCTGTCCCAAGGAGGTGTCGGATTTATCGTCCACAATTCAGGGTGACTATCTGTCCCAAGGTGGTGTCGGATTTATCGTCCACAATTCTCCCGTTAACAAAGTGTGATTGTGAGTGTTTAGTATTTTATATTTAGTATTTTAGATTGTGAGTATTTTATACTCATACTCACCAAATGGTATACATTGAAGATCATACAGGTTTACGCACCAACCTCGGCAAATCCCGATAAGGAGGTGGAGGAATTGTATGAGGATATCTCAAAGGCAATGCATTCCTACAAAACTAACTATACATTGTTAATGGGAGACTTCAACGCAAAATTAGGCACAAGAGAGAACGGCGAGCTAAAGGTAGGGAAATTCTGAATAATGGGACGGAACCCAAGGGGTCAGCTGCTGACCGACTTCATGGAGAAAGAGGGACTCTTTATGATGAACTCTTTCTTCCAGTGAGATTGAAGAGCCACGGAGCCACGCGCAAGTGTAAGTAACGATCCAAGAACAAGTCTGAACGAGATTAGAATGGCTCTCCAGCACCTTAAAAACGGAAAGGCCCCAGGCGAGGTTGAAATTACAGCGGAGATTCTGAAAGCGGGTGGAAAACCGGTACTTAAAGTCCTTCAGAAGCTTCATGACAGAACTACTCCGGAGGCGTGGAGCAGAAGCGCGGGGGTCTTGTTCTTCAAGTAAGGCGACAACGCTCTCTTGAAGAACGGCAGACCGATTTCCCTTTCGAGACGCGTCTACGTGCTGTTTCCAAGAGTCATTAGGAATCGTTTCGCACGCAGAATCGATGACTTCCAGCCTCCCGAACAAGCCGGTTTCCGAAATGGCTTTAGTACCGACGAAAACCGTATTGGCGGTCACTAATCAGCTGGTGATACTCAAGGTACCACATGAACTGGCAGTTTATAATGAATTCCATTATTTTAGAGAACAGGGAGGTGACGGCGAAAGGCCTGTAGTAGTAGTAGTAGATGGATCTGAGCGGTTGCCTTTTTCAAGGCTTCGAATAGAGGACGAAAGCCCTCTTACATGATATCGGGAATATGCCTAGGGAGTAGTAGTACCGTAAAAGACAGTAAGATTGGTGCCAACTCTGGAGCACACATCCTCAGCACAATTGGGGGTATTCCGTCAGGCCCTCTCGACTTGTGGATGTACAAGGAGATCCGGCATGGAGCACTCACACCGCGGTCAAAAGAGAGCCTAGCAGATCGGCTTTCTCCTTTGCGGCATGGGCCAGTGAGTCGTCCTCCCTGTGCAGAGATGGAAGAGATGGCTGACAGAAGTCCCCTTAGACAGCCTTGGCGAGAGACCAGAACGAACGGGTTCTAGAAAGAAGGCAAACTAGTTTCTCGCCAATTCTGCCTGTGCTCTGACTTTGCCTTGGCAACAATTCTTTTAAAGGATCTGGAGGCGGAATTATACTTCTTTCTAGAACGCAGGTATTTCCATACCGAGACATTGATGCATCAGCCCAGGCCCGGTAGCACTTCTGCTAATAGCATGATGCTATTTTACAGGAGCGACTAAACCATGGCTTATATCTGCCTCCATTAGGCACCAGAGAAGAAGGAATAAAAAGTTCCACGCCCTGAAGTACCACATCAGCGACAGAATCAGGGTAGAATGCAAAGAAAGACTGCATCCTATCCCAATCGGCCAACCTATAGTGCCGAACACGGCGGCAGCCTGCAGAATGCAATCGCGATTTCAGCGTGAGTGAGGTACCACACTCCAGACAATGGGCCGAGGAGCCACAAGGGGCGTCAACGGAAACCTGATATCGGTCTAAATGAGAGCTCAGCAGAAGGTCCAAAAGGGAAGGTACATGATGCTTCACATCTGGGATCCGTGTAGGCGAAGTAACCAGTTGTGTCAAACCGTATGCCAAGGCAAAATCACGAACAGACCTCCCCGCACGATCGGTTAAACGTGAACCGAGCCATTCGGCGTGGTGGGCTTTAAAATCGCCGAGGAACACGATCTCTGCAGATGGGATCTGCTGTGGCAAGGAATCTGCAGCCATTTGGACTCGGTCGATGAGTCGGTCTGTTTCGGCATTACAGCTATGGGACCTATAGAGGCCCCAGTAGACGCGCGGTCCGAACTTTAAAGACTGCCGAAGCGTCGAGAACAGATGTCCTCTCTGACGTATACGCAAACTCCAGCCTAAGGCACAAAGAAGTGTTAGGATTTGTACCACGCGTAGGATATATAAGAAGTATCAGCCGGAGAAGACACCTGCGTGTCGTTCAGAAAGACCAAGGCTGGCTTTGCTGTCTCGAGATTATAGTGGACGGCGTTTAGGTTCGAGTGAAGTCCCGTGATATTGCAGAAATTCACGCATAGCTTGGCAGGGGCCGTCTTGGTCTTGTTGCTGAGCTTGCCCCGAGCAGTTACTGCCTTATGCGAAATTTTGCCCCCCCCCCCCCCCATCCCTACCCAGAATACGCGGGGCAGCCTAAGCACCCACGCTCAGGAGTGGAGTAGCTTAACCTTGGAGGGGGATTCTCCAGGGATGCTATTACTCTCCTTGGGTGCTATATTTGTACAATAGGGCTACAACGGCTATCCGAGTATAGAACCAGAGTACGAAACCTATCCAACTGCTGATATATGCCTTACAACTGCCAGGCCAGCTGCCAGGTGTAAGACAGGGTGACGTAATATCCCCAAAACTGATTCAAACTACTTTTACGGATTTTATCGCGTTTATTTATGTTATTTTTAATACCCGACGTTTCGGGTGCTTTCCAGCACCCATGATCACGGGGGACTGAGGTGACTGACGTCTCGATGTCAAAGTTAACCCGGCGTACCTTCGTAAAAGTAGTTTGAATCAATGTATAGTGTTCGCGTAAATATAAGAAATCATTATTCCCAAAACTCTTCACCATTGTATTGAAAGGCATTTTCAAGTTATACTGGACTGGAAGGGATATGGTATTTATTACCTTCTAATTGACGACGATATGGTCCTTATAGCAGAAACGCTGGAGGACTTAAGCACTTTGTTCAATAACCTCAATAATGTCTCCCGAATAGGCTTTAAGATGAATATATGTCCATGTTACACCTATGCCGGTAGTTGTTGGGAGCACTAAACTCGAAGTTGTTGACGAGTATGTTTATCTGGGACAAATAGTCCGACTAGGTAAGTCCAACTTCGACCGAGAGGTCAATCGTCTGATTCAACTCGGTTGGGCAGCGTTAGGGAAATTACGACACATCTCGCCAGGTATGGCCGAAAACTAGATTGTACAACCAGTGCGTGTTGCTAGTGATAACTTAATGGATCTGAGACGTGATCCTTCACTGCTGGCCGTATGAGGAAGTTCAAGGTCGCTCAGCGAGCTATGGAGAGGGTTATTCTCGGGGTTTCTCCGCGTGATAAACTTAGAAATGAGGATATCCGCAGTAAAACCAGAGTGACCGATATAGCTCAACGGATTGCCAATCTGAAGTGGCAATGGGCGGGCCTTATAGATAAGTTCAACCGATGGGGAAAAAAGGTTGTCGAGTGGCAGCCTCATACTGGTAGGCGTAGTGTAGGACGACCCCCCACTAGATGGAGTGACGACCTGGTGAGATATACAGGAAGTCGATGGATGCAGGTGGCTCAGGACCGTGTTTTGTGTAATTCCTTGGGGGAGGCCTATGTTCAGCAGTGGACTTGTGAAGGGCTGTAATGATAATGATGATACAAATACATGTTCCGTGCGCGATGTAAATCAGCAACCATCAGCGCTGCAGCTCATTGCTAAACCACTGCATGCCCCTTCATACATGCTATGTAAACAGGTCTGGCTGTTCAAGAGAACCTAGAACATGTTGTAGGCCTGAATCTTGTACCTCGGCGCTGATATCTTGGAGATCTTCGGCCACCCGCATGATAAGACTGCCGCGGCCCTGCGGCACCAGCTTCTTGAACACCTCCGTGAAGTTCTTGCTCACTTGCTTGAACGTAAACTGGATCGCCTCCAGCTTGCGATGTTCCAATGTCTCGATCAGCTCGCGTATCTTCTCGCCGCTGTAACAAACATATACTTAGCAGGTACGAACCTATAGTTCGTGGTAGTCATGCTGCAGCTATATTATTGTTGTAGCACGGGGAAGGACTCCGGTCACGAACGATATTCGAGAACCACACTCTCACAGAATACTAGCGTAAAATAGCAACTCAATGCTGCTGTTTTTCGTATGTACATAGCCGGAGACCCTTTTTACTGAATACGAAGCATTTCATCTTAGTCCTCAGGTATAACACGTCTGCGTTTTTAAAATGTAATGGAGGATAAGAGCGAGTCCATACGGCGCGTAGCGTTGCGTCATCGCAGCCTTGCTACCCTGAAGTAACCAGTCATAACGTTCCGTCGTCGCAGCGGCGACGCACAGTTGCGGTGAGGATTTAGTGAAAACATCGCAGTCTATTCGGAAACTTGACTTGTCCCATATAACTTCTCTTTCCTGAATTAATGTAATGAAGTAATTCATATTCTCGATTTCTTTAATACTCATTCTTTCTTTTTCTTTATTATTTAATACAAAAACTCATTTTACTCTGCTAATTAAACTCAAACAAAACGAAATGAGATTGCGTGATGTCAACGCACAAAACTGAGCGCTGCCGCTCCAGCGTCGCAAGCAGTACAACCCCTCCCCTTCTTCTTTCAGTCAGTCGTGTGCGCGTTGCGTCAACTCAGCGCACCGTGTGTATACTATGGTTACTAGTATGTAAAACGACGCAGTGACAGCAGTGGCGAAGCTAGGGCTCCAAACTATGGCAAGCCCAAGATATGGTTTTGTTGTTTTTAGCAGTTTTATAAAAATACACCAATCTTGATCTGTCTCCACTCTTTAGTTTCATATTCAGTGCTGTCAAGGACATGTTTAACAAATTACACAGAAGGCATACTACCGCTGCATAGATTGTATGACATATGCAATTGTATGGTATAATGAGAAGATAAAGCTTTGCAAATTTTTTTACCATAAAATAATGACTATTTACTATATAATTATTCATTTTCAATTTTAATAAACCGTACAATATATTTAACTCTTAAGGTAATATAAATATTAAATTAGCCGATAGCGTGTTTGTGCCATCTAACGTAATCTTTACGTACCACCGTGAGAATCAATTTTCGTTTGATAAAATGACTTCACCTATAGAATTAAGTAGATGGCGCTATAAATATTTTATATACTGAACTGAGAAGATAAAGCTTTAAGGACTAAAGTAAATATTCTTTAAAAACCTCAATACATCTATTCATTTAATTTATTACATTAAAATTTGGGCTTCACATTAAAAAAAAGATTGTAACAATTATTTGCTATAAAATTAAACTTATACCTTGGTATCTCATACTTTATGTTCAAAATGATATTTTTAACTCATAAGGTAATATAAATATTGAGTTATTAAACCTTTAAATACGCCTAGAATAATTAAACTTTAATACTAAAGAGTCTTGTAGCTATTAAAATATGAAGAAATGTTTATTGAATTAAAATTTCATTTTTAAAGTTTTACCTTTTCCTCGCCGATTAGCACTTTAACACACTTATATTCATCACAAGGAACACTATTATCCTCCCATTTTCACTAAAAAATCTTCGAAAAAGCATACATTTTTAACAGACACAAGAAAAACAAACATAAACATTGAAATGTGAAGTGAACTTGCAAACGTATTGCCCGTACCCCAACTCGATAACGCATTCCTAAACAATTTCAGGGCAAAGTATGGCTTTTGGTTCCATAGTAATTACTACATAAACATTTCGTAATTATATTTCATTATAGAACATTTTGCCACAAGTTAGAAAGGGAGCGATCGTCTTCTCGAAATCCCTGCAAAAAGCCAACGCGTGCGAGAGAGATGACAAAATCAACTCCTTGCTTTAATTAATTTTGACAGTCCAGTGTATTTCGAATTGAAAGCAAACTGCCACGTATTGACGTTACATATTATATGCTACGAGGTCAGGAGCACGCAGGAAATTTGAAATAGTTTGAAACAGTTTAAGAGTTATTTTATTAGTTGATATTATTGGATGAGCATTTTTATAGAGCAAGCCCGGCTTCTGGGCTTCTATGGAAGCTTCGCCACTGAGTGACATCGCTACGTTAACGCAACACTGACGCAACGTGCCGTGTGAACATACATGTTATAGTTAATGTGGCCTTCCAAACGCGTTGCTCTAATGAGGCAGTGACAGAGAAAACAAATGATGAAATGAAAGATCGTTAGAGAGAAAATAAGGAAAGAAATTCAATAAATATTCCAAAAGAGACTGATGAGCAGCGTGTTTATAGACTTTCATAAATGAGAAAGTAAGCGAGTCCCAGACGTAATGAAAGTCCATCGTGCTAAGCAATTCCGCCTAATACAGGAGCGCTTATCAAACGAAACGAAGAAAAACGTTCTTATCGACTGGGCTTGATACCCGAGCGCTTATCAAATAAAACTGAAAAGCAACGATCTCATCGACTCTGCTTGATACACGAGCTTTTATCAAACGAAACTGAAGAGCAACGTTTTCAATTACTCGGTTTGTTTATCAACACTAATATCGTTTATCCACACGAGAGTTTATGTAAAACCTATGGATGTAAAACCTGCTTAGTACATAAAAGTATTATTGAAATCGGTTTGCAATCTGAGAAGATATCATATAAAATTCCTTAAACAAGAGTCCAATATGAAACTTTTTCCTATATTTTCCACCCTTACGGCGATTGTCCACCGTCGCAGTCACCGGGACGTCATCGTGAAAGGGATTGTTGGCCGAGATCATGAAGACGTGACAGCGATCGTTTGTTCACCGCCACGGTGTCGGTGGTTCAGTCAGTTAGTTGTTGTAGCTGTCGTGCGTCGGCGCGGAGAGACGTTACGGCACCGGTGTGAACTGATACGCTTACATGTGTTTTGTATAGCCGGTATATCGGCCCATCACGATCTCGAGCCAAGGTCTAGCCGGTCGCGCCGATCTACTCGAAACTTCGGCGGCCGGGATCCGGGATGACGGCACTCGGGCGACGGGTTTGCGGTGGACAGGCGGCTATAGCAAATGTATGTGTCGCTACCTCAGCGCCGTCATCTCATTCTCGTTGACGTCCCGGTGACGGCGGCGGTGGACAATTGCTCTTAGCAATTGCAGAATTTTCTCTTCAAAATTTAATGAGATCACTTTTAAGCTAAAACCTATTTAATAACAAAATAATCATTAAAAATCGGTTCAAATCTGCGAAGATATCGCGTAACATATATACAAAAAAAAGCAACATACACTCGAATTGAGAACCTCTTCCTTTTTGAAGTCAGTTAAAAAAACATATAACCCGCGAGCAATTCTCGCAGAATCATCAGCACAGAATTAGGATGACAAACGCCTAATTCTATAAAAGAAAAGGTTATTATCTATTACTACTACTACTACTGTTTTGGTAGTATGGTATATTTTAGGCACAGCAAAATAACAATTTAATTCTTCTCTTTAAACTCATAAAACTAAGATTGACAAATAAGCAAACATTCCACTTTGGCGGAGGAAGAAAAGAGGGAGATCTCCCGTCGGGCTAGGTGTTCAGCCAGGGGAGCGGCCAACGCTCCATGTGTTAATACCGGAGTTGTTCTATATATAGCGCGGTAACTTCGGAACTTTGACAGCGCGATTTAGGCTTCGATGCGTTGCGCTTGTGGTGTGATGACAGCGCCGCCACACAACTACAACAATCCTTTGGGTTAGGGACTATGAACGCCTTCATCTATACTCGTAAGCGTGATCACTCCAGAGAACTAAGATGGAATGTCTCATTTCCAATAAAAATAGTGTCCCGTTATAGCCATTTATCATACAAAATGTATGTATATAATACTAGACTAACACAATTTATATGGACTAGGTCAATTTCTGGTCGAAGCAGAAGGCTTAAAAACCAAGTTCAAGATTGTTCAAATTCAAGTTCAAATTCAGTTCAAGATTGGCTAAAATTATAATATAAATAATTTTAAAACTTTTAAATAAAAGGTTTATATAGACTGTATAATATAAAAAGCCAATTTTAATAGTCTCTAGAAGTTGATCTAGCAATGATAAAAATTGCGTCGCCACGTCCATCGCGCTCTCGCTCATGTGTCACATTTCATTAAATTTCGGCGGTTGCTGGAAACCTTGAGCCTCGGTAAAAACTTTGGCCCATTTTGGCCGAAGCTGAAGATTTCGTTGAAGGTGGCCGAAGCCACCTTCCTTAACAATGGCATAAATATTTTTGGGGTTGAAATTAGGGAATAGTCTCCAAACAATGTAAAATTATAAATAGAATAGATGGATAATATTAAAATTCATATATACGTGACAGTGTTTTTAGGTGGTTCGGCTCGACCGGGTTAGGACCACGCTCTCACAGAATACCAGTGCAAAATAGCGCTGTTTATCGTGTGGTTAGTGTAGAGAACCGGAGACCCTTTTTACTGGAAACGAGGCATTCCATCTTAGTCTTCACACGTGACAACGCATCTGCATTTTGATTCTTAATAGAGAATAAATGTAAATGTCTATGGGCCATAGCAAACTTTTACCACCAGGTGGACTGTGTGCTCGTTTGTCATACTATTCTAAAAAAAAAAACTAGCTTGCCAGGCAGACATTGTTCTGCCCTTTTCGACGACCCTTTGTCATGTCCTATTAAAAATCCTTAAATTCGCAAAAATGTGGATAACTCATGGGCAAAACAACTATCCTATCTCTCAAGTTGGACCAAACTGCACACGGTGTGCAAATTTGATTAAAATCGGTTAAGTAGTTTAGGAATCCATCGCGGACAAACAACGTGACACGTAATTTATATATATATATATATAAAAAATAAAAAAAAATATATATATATTATTTATTTGCCATTACGTTACATTACAATATTGGTACGTCAAAAATAAATTCAATTAAAATTACAAATTAAAACACATCTCATTTGCATATCATTATTTTATATGTCATGCAAGTCAGAAAATGAACATT